TCGGTGCAAGCTTGTCCGCCCGTCTATCCCTCTTGTTTTCTTGCGATAAACCTAAAGGCCGAAATTTATGAGATATTTTGATGAAATGTGGTACACTGATATGTTTTGTCGAAGTATGAATGCTATTGAATATGCTTCGGATCGGACCACTTTTCCGATCGGTCCCTATATACAGACTTATTTTGAATGGTCTCTACATGAATAACTATATTAAGCGAAGTAGCGTAGGAACAAGACAAGGGATACCTGTGGGCACTGCGATGGGTAGAAAGTATTGTAGAAAGAGAAGGGAGCAACAGGGGTGTAGTATTGTGTACGTTTGACTTGTGAAAGTGGAAACATCTGAAGCGGTGGGAGAGACCAATTTCAAGTATTTCGGAACTGTAATGGCTTTACCAAATGATTAAGGATAACTCTGTCCCAGAGAGTTAAGATTCATTATTTGTGAAGGACAATGAACGCAAAGAAAAAAAAAATCTTTTTTCATCTGATTGATGTAATAGTTGATTAGTTTCGCTTGCAGGCTTGCAACCTTGCAACCTTTTCTAAATCAAGTTATTCGCGAAATCGTTTCGACCATTTCGATAGCGTGACATTTTAGGGCCAAAATCTAAATCAATGTTTAAACAAGAAAAACGATACAAATTTCATATAATTAATGCAGAATGATGATTTAAGCTGAGAGAGTCAATTTGTGAAACGGCTATAAGTAGTTACACACTTTGTCAGAAAGGTATCGGGGATCTTCCTTTTAAAAACTCGATTTAATCATTTTTGCGTATTTCAGTCTACGCATCATAGTTGTTTACCCATTTATAAGACACTCAAAATGTTTCTCATATATAAGTGAAAACTAAAATTTTTGTAATTACTTTAGGAAATTTTTTCCATAATTTTCTCGATAAATTCATCTCATTTTAAAACTGCAATTGAAATTAAAATGTGCATATTATCTTCTTCTTCTTTTAGCTTTTAAAATGCAAAAACTCTTTGTACGATACACAGAAGATATCTGCAAAATAAAGTTAATGAGGCGAAATTTTATTGTGAATATTTTGATGTCCAAACTTTTATCGCTCTGGTCGATCAATCAATGTTAACTTCGATCAAATAACAGCTTTAGTCGATATTTATCGATTACAAATTTTTAATATTAATAAACAAACCTTTAATTTTAAATAAACAAAATCCGCCTGGGTGGCCGAGTAGGCAAGAGTCTCGACTAGCAACTCAGTGGGCGTTGTTTTCGAATCCCAAGTGCGGTAGAGTTTTTAATAAAGGCCGATAGCCTTAGATGCTAGTGCTTTTAAGAGTTTAGTCTTAGAATTTATTTCTCTGGCGAAATTAATAATAATAATAATAATAAATAAACAAACAAAGATTTGAAAACATATTGCTTTTGAAATTTCCTCCATATATTGGCTAGGGATTTATACGTAGAAGCAATAGTTTCTAAATTCAGAATCGTATATTAGTGTGACATCTGTTCCGAAAATCTGCTAGCGATCTAGTTTCTTTCCAATATTCAATCATACTAACCAGGCTCGAGCTCGCCTTTTGATAAAAGTATTGACCATTCGGAAAAGGTTTATAGTAAACAGTAACGGTTAAAATATGCTAACAATAACGGTAGCTGATGAATAAAGGCAAGCGTCGAAGAAGTGATGTGAAGAGAAAATTTTGTTCAAAAGGTAATCCGAAAAAAAAAAAAAAAAGTAAAAAATTGTCGTTCGGTAACGTTTAAGTCTTAATAACGTTAATACGTTTCCCGAACCTGCTTGCAATATTCACTACTTTAACAGACATAAAATCAACTACAGTTAATCTTACGACGAAGATACTCCTGGTTTTTTACTTTTATAGAAGTTTGCGATTAAAAGTTTGCTTAATAACGTCAATCAAATGACGTGTTTGCTGATGTTATATAAGTTGTTGCCAACTTTAAAACTACCGTTTTGTTATAAGTAAGTGTATCGTGTGTTCCGGTGAACAATATAAGCGTTTTTCTTTTCGAAGGAACTAATAAGGAGACCCATAGGTAATCAATTATTTAGAAATCTAAAATCAAGTTTTAATATAAAGAATTATTTTTATTTTATTTTTTTATTATCATATTTTTTAAAATAAAAAGCTATTCTGCTCAAGTACACTTCGGAGTGCTCGCTGAGGTGAATATTCTTCCTTTAGTCAAGTTCATCGCTTTTTATATGTATTTCAATAAATACATATATTTATATATATATATATATATATATATATATATATATAGGTGTCAATAATAAGAAGAAAAAATTTCAAAAATTTATATGAAAATCATTATTATTATTAATTATTTATAAACATCAAACAACATATATACGTGTGTATACACAGCCACACAGACACATATTAGCGTATGTATGAATGTATTCATTAATAATTAAATTAAAAAGAATTAAAACAAAAGGAAAACAAATTCAGTTCATTTGAAATTAAAATTAAAATTAAAATATATTATAATAAAATAAAAACGAAAAAAAAAAACATTAAATTTAAGTTTAATAAGAAACTTAGATAATGAACGTATATTGTATATTTTAGGGTGATATTAAAAGATGACGAGGAGAAAAAATGAAGAAATAAACATACACACCATCATACTGAAAGTGATAGATTTATTCAATTACAAAATGTTGAAAGAAATAACGATAAATATTTTCAGGTTTTATTTCATAATACAAAAGGTCCTAAGAAACGAAAAGAGAATTTTTTTTTTTTCAAAATTCCTGTATCTTTCTTGTCCTTTTTCGATTCTCCTTTATGTAGTTCACAGTTTTTTTTAATCTTTGCGTCAATTGAGATAATTGTTCCAAAATAAAAACGATTTGAAATGGATGGAGAAACAGAAATTCCTAAACAAAGGATTTAAATGTCTAGTGATTCGATTGAACAATGATGATAATTGTCGGCCGAGCGTTTTGCGCTTAGAAGTCCCTTAATGGGAATATTTTTTTTTCACTTTGAAGGGTTTAGAGCAGGATTTCACCCGACGAATAGTACTTGCGATGTCCAGTTTTCCTATTTTCAAATCATTTTCGAACGGTAAGGAAATCTTGCTTTACGTAAATTAAAAATTTTTGATTCTCTTCTCACAACTCCCAATCCGTAAAAATCGTGACCTATCTAGTGGCATAGATGCAGTGCGCTTACTTATGACTAGCAGCAGTTTTCTTTAAACTAGAATACCGAAGTAACTCAAAATAATGCTCGCAAACACGGATTGATTGAAGCCTGAAGAGTTTATGCTGCATTTTTTTAAAATCATTTGTTACATTACACTTCTAGCGATGACTAATCAGGAAGCCATCATTCGGAAATTGAATTTTGCGTCTGTTAGCATATATTGTCGAACATATCATCCCACTCAACGCCATATCCGTCTGAAATCGATTAAGCATCATTTCCCCCTTTATTCGTTATTATTTTTATCGCTCAAACAGTACTTTGGAGATTTTTGACCTGAAAAAATAGCGCAAATTAGGAAATAGGAATAGATGTCTGCAGATTCTCCACCAGGGAGTCGCTGATAGCTTTTTTTAGGGTCGTTCTTCTTTTGGTTCATATCTTTTATATTAAAATAACTGTAATGCAAAATGTAAAGAACTTGCAATGAAGCATACGATAGCATTTTCAAGCTTTTTTGAAATAACTTCATAAAACAAATCATCTCTATTTATCTCGAGTCGCAGTGAGAAACGATCTCAACTTATCCGTGCAAATAAGTCAACTCAGCTATTGAAGACATTAAAGTATATACAGTGCTGTTAGCCCTTTATTTTGATGCCTAAATGTGACCAGGGTCTAAACTCATATTACCAAATTTTTTTTTTTTTTTGCATTTTGGAAACAAAAAATCTTAAATGCAATTCTTAAATCGATCGTAGGTCAAGATTGGAGGAAGAACATTTTTCGAAGCGTTCATTTTTAAAAAGATTTCATTTTCAATAAAAACGGTTAGTGTGTATTCCAGCCATGCACCCGCTATGTACATCTTCAAAAAAGGCTCTAGTTTATACTGTCCAACCGCCGCACAACATGTAAATCATATGTATGAAAAATAATATTTCGGTAAAATCCAAATTCAATATTTTGCAAATTTGATGAATGTACAGGCGAATTAAGAGGACGCAAACCATGTAATATTTCAAAATACTTCAATTTCAATATGAATATGTCGTTCATATATTCACAATGTTATGTTTTTTAATAAATTGTTTATATGTATATATATACTAAGGTGAAAATAGGAAAATTTCATTCGAAAAATGTCATCGTTACTGCGGTATTTAATGGCGTACCTGCTTGACAACGCCCGCCATTGAAACTTGTTTCTTTATCCACCAATAGAGTGCTGACATCTGCTAATTTTCTCATTCCGTTTGTAACATCCAGCAGTAGAGACACTTTTTTTCTGTCTACTTGCGATCGTCTCAAATCTGCAATATTTAGGAAAAAAATTTCAATATTTGCATATAGGCAGATCAAATGCAAAAATGCTTACGATCCGTCCTTATGACAGCATGATAGCAAGAAAACAGCGTCTCAGGAGACTGCAAATTTTCATACATTTCACATATATGAAATCTAATTTAAGACATAGCTGGGCTTGAAATCTGGTTAATTCGTTTTCAACTTTGAGTTCAATTGGCCATCAATGAGCATAAAGGGAGACTGTACTTAAGACGTGTACCGACACGAATACAGCTTTCTTGCTTGTTTGTTGTGTAATCAATATGTTTTATATGGTAAGTTAATGTATCAGTTGGCGTTATGAACACCCTTAACGTATGGCAGACATATAATAGTGTTTACTGTAGTTATAGTGACGTTATGAGTATTCATCAAATTTTTTCTTATATCTTTGGGAGTAAGACGTTGAGGTGTGAAAAAAACGGAAAATCTATTTTCTATAATTATTGATTATTATATTTACGTGGGAAGCTAAATAATTCATATCGAAAATGTTACCGAACATGAGGACAAGACGAATTACTGGTCTCCATTTGACCGGTAAAAGTGCATGTCCTATGTCCAAAATACCGCCCAAATATAGCAATGATGATTGGGATTATAATAACAAAATTAAATTTCGCATTACGTGCGATCAGGAACGTCTCGCTGAGCGCATAGTAGAGTAAGTTTGCCGTTTCTTTTGCGTTTTCTTTTTAAATTCGTTAAGTGTTACGCACAAACACAAACACGTGCGATCTTTTAAGGGATTCACGCCGCGTTGTCGATGATGTTAACGACACTACCCGTAACTGGCAACGTGAAGTGGAACATCATTTACGCGAACGAGCCAGTGAGATTCGTTTTCTATGTGATGAATTGAATAAACAAAAGAAAACTGCTTTGCTAGAGGATGAGGCTCTTACTACTTACCGTAATCGTATCTTAAATGCCATCGGATTCCTGAAGGAAAAATCTTTGAATATTTGCCAACGTTGTTTGGTGCTTCGCGAGGGCCGTTTATCAGTGGATTTGTGCGAAGACGATGTAGATCGCAATTTGCGCCGCGAGCTCAAAGTAATCAAAGGTTGTCAAGGCTTGATGGATAAAGCTCTAAAAGAGACCAACGAGCAATTGCGCAAGTTACGTGCTACCATGTATTTGCTCGATAAAGATTTGGCTCAGAAGGACAAGTCCTTGCTTATTGATGAGAAAAACTTGAAGTTGCGCGATAGCCAACATGATTTGGGCAGTAGCGATAATGCTAATCAACCCTGGTAAATTAAGATAATATATATGTGATTTATGGGAATTAAAATGTCTACCGCCATTACTTTTCACTTATTTAGCCTATACACTTTAGGTGAATGGCAGCAAAAAACTTATCTAAATATAGAAGGCAACGGTAAAGAACTTAATTCGGCCTCTCAGTTGAGAGCTTATATTGATTTGATTCTATGCCAAGTTTGTGAAGATATGCAAAATCAAACTGATCGTACCAATGAAGCTTTCGATCGCCGCATTACCGAAGTGAAGCACATAAAGAAATGTTTAGAAAATAAACATAACGATACTATGAATCATATTATAGAAGTACAGCGTAATATTCAACTTCTTGAGGCTGAGATGTCGGATAAAAATCGAGCTCATCAACTTTGTTTGACACGTCTTAGTAATCGTGCTGCTCGTCCTGGACTCGAGATGACTTGTGACGAGGTGCAGCAATCTCTATATAATGAACTGGATGCTCTGAAAGCATCAATGTGCAGATTGCAGCAAAAGATTCGAGAGAACAAGGCTTCGTTGCGCTATCTAATGCACGTACAAGTTATGCAAGAGGAAGAGATTAACATTAAAAACAATTCAATTAAGATCGATGAGGTCGATTGCATGACTTTACGTCAATGCCTAAAATATCAATCATTTTAAACTTTATTCGCACCACTCAAATCAAGGATAATAAATTTCCAGTTCAAATCGAATATCCCAAATTTATATAAAGGGCGATGTGCTTTGATTAAATCATGAAATATAATTTTACTTGAATAATTGAAGCAATAAACTTTATCAGCAAAAAAAAAAAAAACAAAACAAAGGAAACGCTATTTCAAAACCACGTAATACGCACTTTATTGAGAACAAAAAAAGGAGAAAAATTGCAGACGCTAATGCAATTTTTTGTGTAAGTATTAAAGAGCAAGGAAGATATGGGCTTACTATAGAGTTTTCTGCGAGCATTCGACCGTGAACTTCCACAGTTATAGAAAATCATTTTGAAGAAATTCTAAGCTCTGAACGAAAGCAGATTGCCGTTGTTTAGAAGACCACCTTGTTTAGACGATTTTATACCATATTTTAAGAACTTCCTCAAATTCCTAGAATATCCCCAATCTTTTTTCTGTATAATCAATAGTCTGCGGGTATGCTTATAATCATGTAAAACGAATTATTATTATTAAGTGGAATGATTTAAAGCAACACTCGCGCGAATAACTTACTATTATTTCGTATACAAAACTAAACCAAATCGACAAAAGGGACAAATGGTCAGTAGTTTTTGTACAGTTTTCTATATGGTATATGCGTCATATTAATGATTGAATTATAAAACAATAACAATAACAAGAAGGCAAACAAGACAAGGGAGCAAATATTTCAGTAACGCTAGCACTAATATATGTATTGTATTAGCGTAATTGTAAATCGTAGAAGTGAATGCTTTATCGGGTATTCTTGCGACAAATGCTACTTTGCGTCATTTCGAAAAGCAATTCCCTACCTCTCTCTCTCTCTCTCTCTCTCTCTCTCTAACGTTTGATAGGAAACGTGTTGTATATGTGTGTATTTGCGAACAAACAACATGATTTTAAATTAGACATGGGCAATAGTTGGATTGTACCTACCCTTACGACCGGTTGTGTTGTGCACCTCACGAATGTGAAATGGTTCTGGTTTTTGTTCATTACGCCATAAAGCGGGCAATTTAAAAAGAAGTAAAATGGACGTACAATGCAGCATTCTAATGATAGTTGGATTTTATTCTGGCAACTCGACCGAAGAAAGTTGCCCATCCGTGCTCTAGATTAAACTGAATCCTAATAAAGAACCATAATTTACGATAAATCATTAGATGATTATAATAAAGTTTTTAGATGCACAACTGGCCACTAAATATTATCAAACAAAAGGGAAATCGCTATAACTAATATACGTTTGTTTTGTATTATTTTTTGGAATTGTCGATGCCTTGACTGATGTCTTTTCATAATAATTTAAAAGAAAGTCCACTTGATTCAGAATTGATTCAATTCCAGTGCACACTTTTGGTTTGTATGTAGTGCTCGAAATCCTAAATCCTTATTTGCGTTTCTGATATTTCTCTTATTCAACATTATGACCGACGGGGGGTTGTTCACTCGCAGTAGTCAAAAATATGATATAATAAAAGTTTTGATATAATATATGATATAATAATATGAAATATATCAATATGCTACGAGATGTACTTGCATTCGTTAAGAGTAATATTCAGTATTAAGCCGACATAAGCGACAAGTCAACTTATTTATCTCTGTGTCTGTCTAATTTGCGCATCAATCGCTTGAGTTGAGACTCATTCTGCGGATACCTCCAACCTCTTAAGGTTCGCTTTTGCTGTTATGAGAGCAATTAAACGCATGTGATTACTTACAAAGCTTGGAATTTTGGCATTGAGACAAACAAACTTCATGCTATAACTCATTCGACAACATTCAACGACTTCACTTTAATAGGAATACTGAGGTCGATTTATCGTCTTCGGCTATCGACTGCACGCGTGTGGCGACACACAATTACGATAGTTTCGTGTTGTGAATTGTTTTATGGCGACGTTCTCTTAAGATTTTTAATCGCTATATATTTAAAGAATTATACATGATGTTATAGTTATGTGAATAACAACACAAACGCAAATAAATGCAAAAAAGAGGTAAAGTAAAAAATGAAATTTAATTTTAATTTTCTGATACGTTAGGTAGGTTAGGACCTACTCTCATGCGCCACATTAGATTCTAATACGGTGAATACCTGTGTAACAACAACAAATAATGCTGAATTCCAATACGGTAAGTAACGGTGTATTTTAATAATTTAGATAGTAAAAAATTCGAATACGATGTATACGGATAGATAAGCGTGGTTTCTTACGTGGTGGGTGACAGTGAATTCTAATACGGCATGGAACGGCCGACTTTAGCCAGGTAGCTAAGTCTTGATTTTAATACGATCTACTTAAATAGTCAATGGGAAATTTCAATGCCATATGTAATAATGGTTTCTAGAATTTTTACCATATCCTTCAAATATAGTTTTTTTCGTATGAAAAACCACTAAGTATTTTTTTTAATATTCCCTGGAATTGATATCGCAATGCATTTAAATTCACAAAACCATTAAAGACAATTGGTATCTTTTTTGTTTCATTATATGCACGAAAGCGAAAATTGCGTCGCTTTGTCTGCTGCGGTTTAAATAGCATATAGACGTCCGGCGTCCGACATTAACTCGCGACAAGTTCCGGGACTTTTTTCTCATTATAGTGTACACGTTGCAGAATGTATATGCAGATATGTGTGCATAAATTGTAAATAAAAATAAATCACAATATTTCCTTTTGTTGAAAGATGAGAAATCTAAGTGACGTGCATATTAATTCTATGTATGTATTTATACGGATACGCATAAACAATCTCTGTTCCTACATTCGAAGCGACTACATTTATTTTTATCTCTTTATTATTTAGACAAGTACGTAATCAATTGCATAAAAATTGTTCTATGCGTATCGCGGACATTAAAAATATATTTCATAAGTTTAAGAGATATGAAAAAAGTATGAAGAAACGGGTATTTGATGACGCACACGTGCATATGTAAATGTGCATACATATGTAAATGTGCATACATATGTGACTATATATATATATATATGTTGGGTGTGTGGTCTTGTTGATCAATGAAAAATTAAAAATTTCATGAGATCTGCAAAATGTAATTTATTCAAAGCATAGCTCCTCACTGGGTATATGATGTGCCAGCAGTGTCGTCTTTTCGAAGCATAGTAACCGTGCCGTTGATGTGGAAGCTTCATCGAACACCTGCCACGATGCTTTGTGACTAACGGCTTTTGAAATATTTATACACTTCTCAGTGCCAGTAGTAATTCGATGCAGGAACGACTGTTACATCTTGCCAAAGCAGGATCTTGGAAGTGTCTCCTCAATTTTACATCTGTCTTTCAGTCAATTTTCTTTCATTCGGAAGTTATCAAATCACATGTAACCGTTTGAACATACCTAAGGCTTAACGGCTTCGAAAGTCGATCTTGCGCATCATCTTCATTTAATAATGTTTGTAGATCGGCGTCCTCAATTCTTGTCTATCTTCCGCAGCGTAGTGTCGAAATGGCCATTTCAGAAGCGCTTAAACAAGACAGAGGCAATCGCCGACTCGTAACGTCGTCGAGTCTAACCCGCTACGTTCAAAATTTCAAACAATTCAATTTGCTCGCACATAGCAATGCAAAATGGGCGATTTAAAGAGGAGGAAATTAATATATCCCTATTGTAGTCTTGGCCGTGATATGAATTGGCCTGTTGATCAGAAACGTTGCCCACGCCCAGTTGAAACCAATTTTCCAACAGGAGTTTTCGACGATACATGTTCGCTGTAAGATACTTCAAGCTAAACGGCGTATTTCAGTTTCACCGTTTTTTTCAAGTGAAAGCACAGAAGCATCGCTTCTCGCAACTGCTGTTGATTTGGCATCAAAGTTCACAATTTCATTGTTAGATGTGATATACGGATTACGACGGATTTTTAAGGTATGAAAGAATACAAGTTCAGACTAGTAATGCACCTAATATAAAAATGATTTATTTGTCACATCAATTAGCTCCATAGAAGCGAAGATAGAAAAAAGTGATAAATTTACTTATTTACACTTTTCTTATAGCGTGCGCCTAGCAGCAATGAACAACGACTTGCACATGTATTCAACTATTCCTTTGTTGTTTTTTTCTTATTACGATCGATCGCTTAGCGTATATGACGGTGATGGTCAGAAAGACGTGACGAAAAGGGAGTGACGACAGTGTAGTAGGCCTGTGTCTGATCAATAAGTATCGAGCGTTTGTCTACAAAATTTTTCTTACGGTTTACATTAGAGTACGAATTGACTTTTGAAACAAGTTATTTATTAGACAATGACTTACGTAGTTTGGTCATTCAGAGTGACTAATAGCTATCATTAGAAAACTTTGTTTTGAATATATGTACAGTTAGGAGCCAGACAAGAGTTTTGACATTTAAATTAAAAAAAAGAAAATTTAAAAAGTGCAGTTAATCGATTTGATAAATGAAGCATTCATATATTAGCACAAATGTATGTATACGAATATACATCCATTTAAACGTATGTTATCCTAAATATTTTATCATATAACATATTTTAGATGGCTTATGATTGATAGTAATTGGTTTTACAAGTCAATCGTTTTTGAATGTAAATGTCAATCCATTTATATGCTTTATGTACACATATGTAATGAAATTTTTTACTTTTACTTCATTACCAACACGTAAGTAATTAAATAAAGGAAAATAATAATGAAGTGATTAAGGACGCAGTAAGAAAAATTTGTGTGAATCACTGTTTACTTCCAGTTGCAATAAATTTAAGTTGTTAAGTCAAGCTGTTGTAATTGACTTCTGATTAAAAGGGTACTTAATTTTGTTGTCCGTTATTATAGCAAATCAAAATCTCGTTTGTAACAATTTAATCCATCATGTATGGGTTCCCTGTCGTTTTCAACTTGTACATATTATAAACGCAATAAACTTTAGTGAGGGAAATGTTTATAAAATCCGTAATATCACATTTAGAATGG